AAAAAAGAGAGGTAAGCTTTTGAAATTGAAAGTAATAAAAGGATTTCAGTGACTAGTTCTGTGTTTATATGTGCATAATGAGTTACCTTCATTTATTCTAATATTATATCTATATAGAAAACGGTGAAGATTTTTGGTCATATCGCTGGATTCACATTGCTGATGGGACTTCAGATCAACCATTCATTGTGGAACTGTTTTCTACATCTCAGCCAGAAATCTTTGAAAATATTTGCCCAAGTACTCAGTTCCAATATCTTTATCTTTTTATTTTTTCAAGTGGGGGCATTAACTTTAAAAATGTTAAACTTAATTATAGAGGGTCATAATACTGAGTTAGCAAATTCAAGCTATCTGATAGCATGTTTAATTTCTATATTAATATTATATTTGGTATTACATGTTAACCACCCTCTGGTTTTTTATTCAGAATTAATTTGGGATTGAACTAGTTTTTCAGAAAATAGGTGCTCTTATTCTCATTGTTAGCATTTCAGACATAAAAGCATAAGATTTGGTGAAACTAAAACATAGGTAGTCAGTTTCCTTTGTATATACTTGGAAAGACAATGAAGACTTTCCTAATGTTGAGTTAATTGGTAGGAGATTGGCAGGCTGTGTAGTTAAATTTGACAATGATAAGTATGATTCCATTTGAGTATTAAATTAGTATTAGGTTGGTGGTATTATAACAGTTGGTTAATATTTTACTTACTTTGTCATTGACCTTTTCCCCTTGCATTCATTTAGATATATAGGTGTTTTTTCCTCACTAATTTTATTTAATTGAAAACATTTTAGAAGCACCCTATTATATATTTTATATAACAAGTTAGTTTTTATATCTATTATAAGAAAAAAGTATGCATAATACTTTTTAACAACTTAAGTGAATTTTTCCTTCTTTGATTTTGTAGTATCAAGCTATTTTAGATATGATGTGCTATTTTACTATTTTCTAAATGATTGATTATATGAATTAAATACCGATTGTTAAATATTTGTTAACATTAGGGAAACTCTCAGTCTTGGCTACATGCAATTTTTTTTAAATCAGCAACATTCCCAGCTGGCGTGGCTCATTGGTTGAGCGTCGACCTGTGAACCTGGAGGTCGAGGTCATGGTTTGATTCCCGCTCAGGGCACGTACCCAGGTTGAGGGCATGATCCCCAGTGTGGCGCATGCAGGAAGCAACTGATAGATGATTCTCTCTCATTGATCTTTCTACCTCTCTCTCCCTCTCCCTTTCTCTCTGAAATCATTTAAAAATAATTTTAAAATAATAAAAATAAAATCAGCAACATGGTAGAAATTGTAGATCAGAAGACTTGGAGACCTAGTACAGGACTGTTCTGCTACCCCTTTATTCTCTATTGCAAAACAGTGTTATACACTATGCAGATATTATCTCATCAGATTCCACCCTCTATTTGTGAGATTATTTTTTTAAGTATAACTTACTATAACCAAACCTTACCCCAACTACTGGGGGAGAGGGCAGAAAGACAGCTTTAGCGAAAACCAAGGCCTGGTCTTCCAAGATGAGCGGGGCTATATAACTTCTCCAGAGGCATAAATGATTGGTAGCAATGACCTCTGATGACAATTCTATTACCTCATATTAGATGAGTTTTATTGCCAGGTTTCTCTTTGTACTCACTTTAAACAACAAACTGACACAAGTTTTACATAATGCTTTTTCACAGAAATGTTGCCAAGCATGCATGTTCTATTTCTTGTGAGAATATATATATAAAGGTTTGTATGGACTTTGGTGAGATTTTCTCTAATATGGTAATTGACAACAGTTACAATTTATTTTCATCTTTTGACCAAAAATGAAAGGGAAAAAAATCACTTAATGAATGGTGAGTATTATGGGGGTTTTAGGCCTATGAAGGGGAACATGACTAAGGGTCTTCTGTAGTAATACCCAAATTAGTTGGTAGCAGGGCATCTTTTTTTAATTTTTAAGAAAGTGAAGAACTAAGGGAAACTAATATTGAATGTTTACTATGTATCAAATGCTCATAGATGTTATCTCATTTTGTACTCCCAGTTACCTTTTAAAGAGTTGACGTTTTTTACAAATTTATAGGTAAGGAAACAAAGGTCCAGTGGGTTAAGTAATCTCCTGGATGTCAAACAGCTATTAAGTGTTAGATATGAATGTCTGATTATTTTTTAATCTATACCCGAGGATATTTTTTCCATTTATTTTTCAAAGAGAGGGTAAGGGTGGGAGTGAAAAAAACACACAAAATATCAACGTGAGAGAGATGGCCAGGGTGAACATGCAGCCGGGGTACATGCCCTCGGCCAGGAATCAAATCCACGACCCTTGGATCCACAGGCCGATGCTCTAACCACTGAGAAAAACAGGCCATGTCTGATTTTTAACAGCCATGAAATTAGAATAAAATATTTTGTTAATACTACTCTATCAACATCTTTAACCATGAATGCTCACATATTTGTACAGTTTTTTGAAGTAAAAGAAACACAATACATATTAAGACAACTATTCTTAGTCATTTGAACAGATTTTCTTTATTTTTATTGCTATAAAATAAAGATCTAGTAAATATAAGATGAAGAAAATGAAGTTATATATCATGCTCTAGGAAAATATTTATTCTCAAGTGAGAACTTACTGTTATTGTGAGATTAGAAGTATTTACATTTATTTTTTTATTTCCTGGTTTGCAAGACTATAACTGTTTTGCCATGTAAGGAGTTAAAATTTTTAGAAATTGTTGGATTAATGAAATTTTCCCAAATAAACTGATAGATATTTAAAAATAATTGATAGCTCTTGAAAGTAATTCAAGTCTGAAGACATAATCTTATTTTCAGTTATTCTTTTTAGCCTATCAAGTTTGTTAGCAAGGTGAACAAAAATAATAGGCAACAAGCCTTGTCATTGAGGCTTAAAGTCTACTTAAGGTCAACATATGTAAAATATTTTTCCTAAGCAAATTGAAATTAATACTCTATAGCCCTATCTGGTGGAAGGAGTACTTTAGGGATCAATGTTAAATTGAGTTAATCAGTGAAAACATCTTGGAGAAACTAAGCCTTTTTTCTCTTTAGGAAATAATTGTTCACATTTTGTTGTGTGCCCCATTAGAAAGACTCTTGCACTCTTCAACTGTGCAGCAAGTAGTGACTTCAGTTAGGTGCAGCTGTTGTATATTCTAAAGGAAAAGTAAGTGTTAAGTCTGTTATCTAAAGGAAAAGGTAAGTGTTAATCCTTGTTGCTCCAAGTGTGGTCAAGGGATTGGCAGCACTAGTATCACCTAGGAACTCATTAGAAATGGAGAATCTCATATCCTACCCTAAAACTACTGGATCTTAATTTGCATTTTAATAATTGTCCTAGATGATTTCTATATTTATTAATTTTTGAGAAGCACTGTGTTAAATCCTGATCTTGGTATGTCCTCTTTGAAATGCAGTTCTTTCATAAGTGTTTTCATTTTCTACAGTGACATATTTCATGTGTACACAGTTGAAAGTTGTCAGAAATAACAATCAAGTACCTAAACTGCTTTACCTCACCACTACAAATGAGAGTCAAATATTTATTATCGGTGAGCAATGTCTTTGTATATGCTCTACTGGAAATGTAATATATTTTCTCTTCATTAAATTAACTTTTACATGACAACATTCAACCACAAGATAGTTCTATTTTCATCTTCTTTATCTCTATAAGAACGTTTTAAAAGAATACTTAGCCTATGAAATATATTTCTTCTAGATTATTTATGATTGAAGCAATGATTTTGTGACTCACTGGAGAATTGTGTTTATATCCTTTGGCTAACTTTAATTCCTATTTGCTATAAGGTAGATAATCATAAATTATTTGATAGATTGAAAACTGTTAGGCCCTCCATCACAATACGAATTCAATTTAGCAATATTTTAAAATACTGAGTAAAACAAAAATGTGCATCAAATTTTGGCCTCAGGATCTCACAATTTACTTATATAGCAAGAAGAATCACACTACTTGTCTATAAGTACATTATTTTTCTCTGTTCCCTTTGATAATGGGGTCAAAACAATAAAGATAAAAGGTTCCAGATTAGTGAGGGAGTACTGTGGAATGGTGTGTTTACTAGAATGCTACCATATTGGTGATTAGGAAATTTGTCAAGAGTTCTAGGAAGTGTGTAACGCACATCTTTGTCAACACCTCATTTTATAAATACTAATAGCATCAGATGTAAATAGCACTTTTAAGTGTGCTTTAAGAAAATGAATTTAAACATTGTGCTTTACTGCCTGGACAGTATGGCTCAATGGTTGTACATCAACTCATGAATCAGGAGGTCACCGTTAGATTCCTGGTCTGGGCACATGCCTGTGTTGCAGATTCAATCTCTAGTAGGGAGCGTGCAGGAGGCAGCTAATCGATGATTCTCTCTCATCATTGATGTTTCTATCTCTACCTCTCCTTTCCTCTCTCTGAAATCAATGTCACCCAAATAAAATTTAATTTTAAAAAATGTTGAGCTATACTTATAGGCAATTTAGTTCATACATGATGCGATATATTCAAGATAATACATGATTTAAAAATCAATTTTAAAGAAAATGCCAACCATTTGGATAGTTAAAAAAATCCCAGTTATTAGTTTCTTTTTCATATGGCTTTTTAGTATCCTGTAGACAGCTACAGTTTAGTCCATTAAAACTCTAGTATGCATATTGAGTACAATTATCCTCTATATCGAGAATCAGTGAACATGACTTGTTTTCTTGGTGATATAAGAAACTGTTTTAATATTAAACTGTATTTATACAAAAAAGTCCATTCAGTTTATTACAGTAAGTTGGTTTACACTCCCCCCTTATTTTTCTCTTTACCCTTCTTGCAAATAGGTCATAGAGGCCAGCCATATGCCAATGATACCAAAGTAAAAAGTTTTATTCACTGGATTAAAACAAAGACTGATTCTGGGGAAATGAAGAATACTGTTATTGGTGGATATTACCCCTATCCCCCAGTGCCAGAGACATTTTCGAAGTATAGTACTTCTGTAAAAGGTACTAATAAAATTGATACTTTTTAAATGATATTTTTATATGCTACATGTATGGTGTATGAAATATCAGTCTTCTTTATTCTTTTATTATATGGGGGTGAGCCAAAATGTATCAACACTTCCTGATAATAGTGCTGTCTTTCTGAAGATCTAAAGATATCATGTGTCCTAAAGTTAATATTTTCATTTTATTTGACTGGAAGAAAAGAAGGAACATAGACGATGACTAAATAGAGATAATATCTCAATTTAATGTCATTGAGATATACTCTGACCGTAGTAGATTTCAACTCCTATGACATTACTTAGAGAAACTAAGATATCAAAGGGAACACTGGGCAATTTGATATCAAGATATTGAAAACTGCATTATGCTACTCTTATGAAATAGTATAGTATTTAGATGATGATAGGTCAGTATTTCAAAATTGCTCTTTTTTTCCCAAAACCATGCAATTATCCTACAGTTTTAAAAAACAATATACTTAAGTGTTAAACTTTTCAATTGTCATATCTAATTGTATTAAAAGTAATTAACATTAGGTCTCTCTATCAGTACTCATTTTGCATCTCATTGATTTGGGTGTCATTTTTATTTAAAGGTAGCACTCGATTGTGTTATATCCAATATACAGGGGTGTACAAAAGTAGTTACATTTGTGAGTATGCAAAACAGTTTATTCTTATATTATTATTTATTAACTATTGTATTATTTTCCATATGAACAACTGTAAACCTACTTTTGCCCCACCCTGTATTGGCATCCTTTTGCACTTTATAATGCCGTCAATTTGTAGTATATATTTAGAAATATTAAAATGTGTGTGTCTATGCAGTGGCTAGGCAACACTTTTTAGTCTGAAATATAATCTATAAATTACATTCAATATACAAAATTTCTGTTTCAAATTAAAATTCCAGACTAGAAGACTGTATCATGATTTAACTGATTAATATATTTTGCCTATTTTACAAAAATTACATAAGAGGATGCCAAATATAAACACAAAGCCTCACAAATTTAAATTATGTGGCAAGTTTATAATTTCAAGTTGTATTTAGATTGCAAATCTGGTTTTTATTTTTATCATCTCAGTTCTTTAAAACTTACAATTTCCTTGGAATTACTCTTTTGCAGTTCAGTCGCTCCTGACAGCTATAAGTGAAGTGAGGAAGGAGATTGAAAACTTGCAGTATAGGGAACAAAAACGCATTGCAATTCAGGGAATAATTACTATTATAAAGTATATGCCCCGTAGCAGTGCAACTGGAAGTTCCTCAGCATCAGAAAGAGTTCGGGTATGGCACCAGAGAATTAATAGTATATTGCTGAAAACGCTGTGATCATAATTACAGTTGTACCTTGTTCATTTTATTCAGAACTCACATGCATTGATTCTTTTTTTATTCTTCTTCTTAATGGTGTAAAACCAAGAGGGGGGAAAGATCATTGTTGCTTTTTGTTTCTTTTTTCTGTCATTTATTTATTTTGGAGCAGGCTGGGCAGAAGGTCATAGCCTCTGATATTTCCCAAGGCCCTCAAAATTTGGTATCTTGATTTTGCTTTCTACACAATTTAAGCCTATCTTGATTGTTGTTATTTAAATTCCCAAGTGGTATATATTATTACAGGCATCCTTGGAAATATTGTGAATTCAGTTCCAGATCACTGCAATAAAGCACATATTGCAATTAAACAAGTCACATGAATTTTTGTTTTCTCGGTGCATATAAAAGTTATTTTTACACTATACTATAGTCTATTAAGTGTGCAATAGCATTATAATTAAAAAACAGTTTACATAACCTTAATTTAAAAAATACTTTATTGCTGAAAAGATTAACCATCATCTGAGCCTACTGGAAAAATGGTGCCAATAGATTTGCTCCACACTGGGTTGCCTCAAACATTTAATGTGTAAAAAACACAATTTTTGCAAAGCACAATAAAATGAAATATGTCTGTATATTATTTTCTTACGTTTTGTCAAGACCAGAACGTTAGGAACACTTCCACCGGAAGTTCTTACCTCTGGATCTGGCATGGCAGTCTTAGCCAATGTTGTATAAGACACCAGTTCTGAAATCTAGGCATAATCAAGACAAAAAAAGTTAATTTTTCCTATGAGTTTATTTTTTTAAATTATTTCTAGGATTGCTATGCTTTTGTTTTATTGGAACACAACTGCAGTTATTTGTTTAAATATTTGTTTATGGATCCTTTTTAAAATTTAAATATATTTTTATGGATTTCAGAGACAAAGGGAGAGGGAGAGAGAGATAGAAACATCAATGATGAGAGAGAATCATTGATCAGCTTCCTCCTGCACACCCCCTGCTGGGCATGTGCCCTTAACCAGAAGGGAACCTGGGACCCTTCAGTCCACAGGCCGACACTCTTTCCACTGTGCCAAATTGGCTAGGATTACTGTTCTTACAGAAATACACATCTAATCCAACTTTTCAGCTATAGTAATATAAGAGGGACTTTTGTTTATTTTTCTTTTAAAAATATTTTAATAGAAGATGGATGAGGATAAATCATCTTTATAAAAGCACTATTATTATTTCAACATGTTGTCACAACTCTTAAGATTATGAAAAATGAGTAAACTAAAATTGTAGACTTTTAAGATAAATAATTTCAATGAATTAGTTTTAAATGTTTTCTCTAAATTTTTGGTTTCAGAATGTTAACCAACCCTCAACATCCCAAACAGCAATAAAAGAAAGTCAAAGTCAGGAACTAGATGGTAAACAGAATCAAGATGATGGTTCTGTGAGTTGTCAAACTACATGTACAAGTTTGAGCCCTCCCAAGAAAAAAAGGATTCTGCAAGGGCCATTTGCCAAACTGTAAGTCATTTGTATTAAATACATACATAGAATATTAGGTTGTTTTGTTGGTTTCTTTCTAGCCTGTAAAATGCATAATTGTACTAGAAGCTGTATTAGTTTTCTAGGGCTGACGAAGTACAAGATCAAGGTATTGGTAGGGTGAATTCCTTATAAGAGATGTGAGGTAGAATCTGTTCTATGACTCTCACCTAGCTTCTAGTGGTTTACTGGCAATATTTGGTATTTCTTAGCTTATAGAAGAATCACCCCAATCTGTGCCTTGATCTTCTTCACCTGGCATTCTCCCTATGTGTAAATTTGTGTCTAGATTTCCACTTTTTATCAGGACACCATCCACATTGGATTACGGATCCATTCTGGGGTACTGGTCTACTCCAATATTATATTATCTTAACCAACTGCATCTTCAGTGACCCTATTTTGAAATGTCACATTCTCACTGTCCTTGAAAATGTAATCAGTTACATATTATTAGTCTGTCCTCTGGCCCCTTAAAATTTATGTCCTCACATGCAAAATACATTCAGCCCATCACAATATCCCCAAATGTCTTAACCCATACCAGCGTTGACTCTAAGTCCAAAATCTCATCTAAATATCATCTAAATCATGTGTGGATGAGATGCAGGGTGATTCATCCTCAGACAAAATTATTTTCTATCTGTAACTTGTGAAACTACACATTATCTATCCAAAATACAATTGGTGGGACAGGCATTCCAAAAGGAAGAAATTGCAAGGAAGAAAAGGATCATGGGTCACAAGCAAGTTTGAAATCTAGCAGGATCAGTTCCACTTGATTTTAAGGCTCCAGAATTATCCTGTTTGGCATGATACTATGTCCTCTGGGCTCAACAGGTGACAGCCTGAGTGGGTAGCTGGCTCTGTACTCTGGAACTGAGGTGATGGCTCTACCTTCATAAAGAAAAGGCCTTACCCTCAGGGTTATTCTTCCCTTTTTTAAAAAGAATAACACACGATCACAGCTGGATATATCTATCAGGTCATTTCCTGACTTTAGAATTCCAGAAACCAAACAGCCTTTCTTCATTTCCTCTCATCTATATCCCTTCAGTCTAAGCCAGCGGTTCTCAACCTGTGGGTCGCGACCCCTTTGGCGGTCGAACGACCCTTTCACAGGGGTCGCCTAAGACCATCCTGCATATCAGATATTTACATTATGATTCATAACAGTAGCAACATTACAGTTATGAAGTAGCAACGAAAATAATTTTATGGTTGGGTCACAACATGAGGAACTGTATTTAAAGGGCCAGAAGGTTGAGAACCACTGGCTAAGCTAACAGTATGCCAAATGAGATAGTTGATTGGGCCCACAGGTCACAAGCCTAATGTGTTGGGCAAATGGTTCGCCAACAGTACCCTTGGTGTTCTATCCAGAGCAAACTTTCTCATTTTTTGAAATTGAGTAGGCTGAGAATTTTCCAAGTATTGAAGTGTGGTTCCTTTTTTATTAACAATTCTCTTTACAAATGTCTCTACCCTCTCATATTTTACTATAAGCAGCAAGGAAAAACCAAGCTGTGCCTTCAACACTTTGTAAGTTCAGCTAAATATGCAAGTTCATTGCATACAAGTTTCACTTTCCATCCAACAAAACACAATTCTGCCAAGTCCTCTACTATTTTATAACAAGGATCACCTTTCATCCAGTTTCAAATTAGACATTATTTCTTTCTGAGACCTCACCAGAAGCACCATTTACATTCATATTTCTAGCAACATTCTGTTCATGACAATATGTGTTTTCCCTAAGAAACAGAAGCTTTGTCTACAGCTTTGTTCTTTTCTTTCTGAGTCTTCAACAGGTTCTCCTTCAAAATCCATATTTCTAGCAACATTCTCTTCAAAGCAGTCGAAGCTTATTCTGTTACTGAATCTCAAAACTCTTTCAGCCTCCACTTAATACCTAATTCCAAAGCCACTTCCACATTTTTAATTATTTGTTACAGCAGCAGCCTACTTCCTGGTACTGAAATCTGTATCAGTTTTCTAGGGCTGCTATGACAAAGTACCACAAGTTGTATGGCTTAAACAACAGAAAATTATTGTCCCGCAGTTCTTTAAGCTACAACTTTAAAATTAAGGTGTCAGCAGGGTTGGTTCCTTTTGAGGGTTGTAAGGAAGAATCTGCCCCATGCCTCTCCTCTAGCATCTGGTAATTTGCTGACAATCTTTGACATTCATGGGCTTGTAGAAACATCACCCAATCTGTATCTGTGTTCAAATATCCCTTTTTTATAAAAACATCTGTCATATTAGTGGCCCACGCTACTCCAGTATGACTTCATCTTAACTAATTACATCTTCAGTGACCCTGTCTCCAAATAATTTCACATCTGCCTTGCTCAGCATGGACTAATTGAAAATTAATTTAAAATGGGAAGTAACCCAAAAATAAACATTTTAATTTATGTACGCATTATATTTTAACTTAAAATACTATAAATGTATTTAATTTATTTATTTTTTTAAATATATTTTATTGAATTTTTACAGAGAGGAAGGGAGAGAGATAGAGAGTCAGAATCATCGATGAGAGAGAAACATCGATCAGCCGCCTCCTGCACATCCCCCACTGGGGATGTGCCCGCAACCCAGGTACATGCCCTTGACCGGAATCGAACCTGGGACCTTTCAGTCCGTAGGCTGACGCTCTATCCACTGAGCCAAATCGGTTTCGGCGATAAATGTATTTAATTTAAAATAATTTGTTCATCAGTTGTTTAAGCATGGATCTTTTATACATAAACTTCTCCATTATGAATTGTATATAATTAACAGTTTTGGTTTCTTTGCAGTAGCAACAAAACTGAGAAACTAATAAAGAAGGTGAAGTACAGAATCATTTATATATTTTTTTTAATTAACACTAATCTTTTGTAATAGCTATGTCCAATCAGACTCAGTTTGGGGTTATATACTGAGCTTGTCTCTGGCTATGTGAGCTAGAAAATTAAATCATTGATTTTTGGGTTCTTCCTTTCTAATATATGCATATTTGCTATACATTTTTCTCCATGCACTGATTTAGCCACCTCCTACCTCATTATCAGTTAGTTCAAACATTTTTTTGGTTTTCAGTGTGACTCTCTTCAGACTCATATCATTTCATTTCCAATCACTTGAGAATCTCTAGTTGCATTTTTTAAATTTAATTTAGCTTATCTTCACTCTGGAAAGAGAAAATATTCTGAACTATTTTAATTATTTGAAATGTGTTGAAAGGCTTTTCTTAAATTGTACATGTGGTCAATTTTGGTAAATGCTTTTTCATATGCACTCAAAAAATGTGAATTCCATCATCCTTGAGTGCAGTGTTCTATACATGTCAGTTAGGTCTAAGTATTATAATTGTGTTGTTAATATTTATTGTTGACAGTGTTACAGATGCCCCCCTTTTTCCTTCTCATTGCCCTGCTCCACCAGTGCCGGGAGCCGGTCCATCCTTGCTGTTTCAAGGGACCTGGCATATATGGCATACTGTTCTTAATATGTTTGCTCACCTTCTTGGCACTATGTATTTTAACCAAGGCCACCTCTCTGAGAAAGGTTGTTTCCCCAGGTAGGGATTTTCCCCTGAAGTTAGATGCTGGGGTCCAACCCCAGCAGGTCCAGGGGTCCCCAAAGGTGTAGACGGAGTCAGCGAAGAAGGAATGACACGGAGACAGCGTTCAGTTGATCAGCAGCCTAGCCAGGATCTCTAGCCAGGATCTCCAGCCAAGTTCTGTTCAGGATCTCCAGCGAAGTTCTGGTTGGTATCTCCAGCCAGGTTCTGTGTCCATGTTCTCTTGCTAGGTTCTCCAGCCAGGTTCTCTAGGTTCTCCAGCCAGGTTCAGTCACCAGGTTCTAGTCAGGTTCTCTTGCCATGTTCTATCCAGGTTCTGTAGCCAGGTTCTGTCTCTAGGTTCTTCAGCCAGGTTCTCTCACTAGGTTCTGTCTCTAGGTTCTGTGGCCAGTTTCTGTCCAGGATCTTTTGCCATGTTCTCTCTCTAGGTTCTGTCTCCAGTTTCTGTCCAGGATCTTTTGCCATGTTCTCTCCAGCGAAGTTCTTCTGTCTCTAGGTTCTGTGTAGGTTCTGTGTCTAGGTTCTGTGTCTAGGTTCTGTGTGCTGTTGTCTTGTTACATCTGTATTTATACCAGTTGATTCCAATCCTATCAATCTCTATTCCAAAGGTTAGGGCATTTCTTATCTCCATTCCAGGGA